GGCGACGAGGTTGCCATGAAGAGTTCGCTGGAGGTGAATGTGATCACGGCTAGGGTTTGTAAAATTAGGGTTTATTTCCTGACGGCTAGGGTTTTGAAAAATAGGATTTATTTCTTAAAGCTCTGATACCATGAAGCTTTATGAGAAGAGTTTTTCTTATATTTTCAATGCAATAGGATGCAATATATATACAAGAGTATCTTCAATCAAGAGACTAGAAATTAGGTATCAATCTAATTCTACAAGGAAAAATTAAATTACATGGTATACAAAGAAAGTACTTCCTAAATTTCAGCTTGACTTTCTACGGAACAAAATCAAAGAATCTTTCAAACAAAATTTGCTGCTCATCGGTTCAGTTTGACATGGCTTCTCAAAGAGCCTCAAAGTCGTGTTCTCTTTTTAATGCTTTTTGGACTATAATTCCTTTGATATTCACTCAAACTGGAAAGCTTTTATTTTCGTCGATTAGTATCTTTAAGCTCTTCGGTTTAGTCCTTGTATCTTGGGCAGTTTCAGTTGTTTTTTAGTTTCTAACCTTGTAATCCTTTGTACTTTCTTTTTCTTTTCATTACATCAATGAAAATTCTTGTTTCTTGTTTCAAAAAAAAAATAAAAAATAAAAATAAATAAATAGTGATAAGAATTTGAAATATACCCAAGCACTAAATGACCCATACACTCAAGGAAATATTACCTTCCATTATCTGCAAGAAGCAATTCCTCCCAAATAGAGTTACAATAAGAATTTCCCAAGTTCCTAAACAAGTTCAGTATCGAAGGCTCCCATACTTTGACATCTAATGTTATTGATCTCACCTGCATGAGCAAGAATATAAGCCCATCAGTGTTTCATTTCACAAGATAAGATTAATACTTTCCTCACAAGATTGAGCTTGATTTGAATACCTTTGAAATATGGACACCAAGATTACGGTGCACACCAGAGCATTCTATGCACAATAAAACGCCAAGGTTTAAAGAAGCCCATTCGGGTTCTGGTGTGCCACACTCAGCACAAAGATCATTTCCAGGAATTTCTCTTAGTATCTTAGAAACAGAATCTACTTGGCTGCCATCTTCTAATCTTTCTTGGTGTAGTGTCTGAATGTTAGAATTATCGAAATTGTTTTTATCACTCTCAGGATGTTTTGCTTCCAAGAGTGGCTGCAGAAGATTCAAATGGCTGTAGCATAAGCATCCATGCTTTAATCCTTTGTCACACACACGCACACATACACAAAACGAGCTACTGGGGCACAAACCTGTTGGAGAAAAAAAGAATTGAAAAGGGATGCAATAGCTCCTGTGATTTTATTGACCCAGTCCAACCTATCTGCCTCATTTTCAGCCTAGCCCAAAGAAAAAGAACTATCAACAAAGATTATGTTGAACAAAACGATGTAATTTCCGTTAATTAAAAGAGCTCAAAAGTTTAAACAATGAAAAACTAAACTCCAAAAAAGTTTTTCATTTAATTTTCCTTCCCGGTCAAGACAGAGAGTTGAAGAAAGCTTAGTATTAGGGAACACAAAACTCCGAATCCTGCCAAATGCAGCAATAAAAATCCAAAAAAAATTCATGAAGTTTGTGGCATTTAAAGCAAATAATGGGCAGAAAATCAGATTCTGGAAAGATAAATGGGTGGGTGACACCTCTTTTAATCTAGCTTTTCCAGATCTTTTCAATATTTATATGAAGGAGGAGGCCAAGGTGGCTGAATGCTGGAATGCAGATCAGAATGACTGGGATTTGGGCTTCAGAAGGGAGATTTTTTTATAAGGAATTTGATAGTTGGTCGGTCTGCTGAACAAAATAGATTCTGTGTAGTTGGGCTTTGGAGTGGATAAGTTGGCATGGAAGTTAGACCCATCTGGGATCCTTTCAACAAAGTCAGCCTTCCTGAGAGTTACGGAAACAAGACCCATGCTGAAGATTCCTTTGATTAATTCGATATGGAGATGCAAAGTACCTAAAAAATTAAAGATTTTTCTGTGTTCTAGCACATAGGGGGCTCAATATGCAAGACAAGCTTCAGAGAGCGTAAAAACTGGATGCTATCTCCCTCAGGCTCAGCTTGCTGCTTCTTTGTATCAGAAGAGGAATCTTTGGATCATCTGTTCCTTGTCCGTTTGACAGAAAGGGCTGTTCCTTTTTAAAGAATTTGGGTTGGCCTTGTGTATTCCAAAACAAGTAGACTCTTGGCTTTTAGAGATGCTCAATGGTTGGCCACTCAAAGGAAAAGCAAGGATCCTCTGGTGCAGTGCCGTTAGGCTCTTCTATAGAAAAGTTGGCTGGATGGAAATCAAAGGCATTTTGAGAACCGAGAAGCTAGTTTTGACTCTTTCTGTAGGAGTTTCCAAATGGCTGCCTCTTGGTGGTATTATACAAAAAGCAAATTCACTTATAACTATTTCTCTATGATTTTTCACAATTGGAAGGCTTGTTTTTTGTAATTAGCTCCATTGGGAGGGGGTCCTCTTACCCACTTGTCCCTAGGTTGTTCTTTTGCGTGAATACAATCTCTTGAGATAAAACTCCAAAAGTTTTTCCTTCAATTTACTTTCCTAGATCATTTTTTGAAGACTTAAAAAGCATGTTGGATTTAACGAACATCCATGACCATCTAAACTCTAGAGGAAGAGTGTTGGAAGTTTGAATTAGGCCGATCTTTCAATACATGGGCCCATGACATAATTTATCTTCACACTCATTTGACCCATCTAGTTGTAAGTACTCATGAGCATTTTCTCCACGATTCTTTTCCTTGCCTTTATTTTCTCCAGACTGTTGTAAGCTTCCACATGTCATTAGCCTAGCTATTTAAATTCTTCATCCTCGAATAAATATATATATGATTACCATTCTTCTTTCTTGTTTTATGTTTATCTACGATTCTTCCAAATCTCTTTCATTGACATCTGTCTTAAGTTTACCACAATTTTCTTTTAATTTGATCTATGATAGTAAACTCACTCGTGATCTCAATTGTTGTGTCTTATTCTTCCCTGGTTATTGCTTATTTCAGGATCTTACGACGAAGAAGACTATTGGTAAAGGGCGTGAATCCAACGGCCTCTACACGTTTGATACACAAATACCTACAGCTACCATTTGCACTCGAGTACCATCTCCTTTCAAAGAACATTGTCGTTTGGGTCATCCATCTCTCTCCATGTTAAAGATTCTTCGTCCTCAATTTCATAGTTTGCATTCTTTAGCTTGTGAGTCATGTCAATTTGCTAAGTTTCATCGTCTTAGTTTGTATCCTAGAGTCAATAAACTAGCTACTACTCTTTTTGAATTAGTTCATTATGATGTTTGGGGTCCTTGTCCTATTGAGTCCAAAGGTGGGTTTCGGTTTTTTTTTTACATTTGTCGATGACAATGATAGGAATCGCCCTTAGGGTAATAAAGGGATATTATTAGAGTATCAAGGGTACCTTAGTAATTAGATAGGAAAGTTGTTAAGGAGTGTTGTTATAAATAGAATGGAGGTGTAAGGATGAAGGTATCCAATTGAGTGAGTATGTTTTAGGCTTGAGTAAGAATACTGAAGAGAAGAGGGGAGGGTCCAAGTACCTGGAATTACTTGGTAGTTCTTGTAGTTTCTATATCTTTTATCTTTCAATATATTTCGGGTTCTAACAGTGGTATCCTCAAATCCATCCGTTCCATCATCTGCTCCATCAATCGAAGAATCTCTTCATGCATAGAATTCATGGCCAGAAACGAACTGCTCTGGTACCACTGTTAGAACCCGAAATATATTGAAAGATAAAAGATACAGAAACTATAAGAACTACCAAGTAATTCGAGGTACTTGGACCCTCCCCTCTTCTCTTGAGTATTCTTACTCAAGCCTAAAACATACTCACTCAATTGTATACCTTCATCCTTACACCTCCATTCTATTTATAACAACACTCCCTAACAACTTTCCTATCTAATTACTAAGGTACCCTCAATACTCTAATAATATCCCTTTATTACCCTAAGGCGATTCCTACCAGACTTTTCCCGGGCAACTTGATTATATTTAATGAAACATCGTTCTGAGTTACTTTCTCATTTTCGTAACTTTCATGCTGAAGTTCGAACTCAATTTGGTGGCTCTCTTAAAGTTATATGAAGTGATAATGCTAAAGAATATTTTTCTGGAGCTCTTGGCTCCTATTTGAGTGAATATGGTATTCTTCACCAATCCTCTTATGTCGATACTCCGTCTCAAAATGGAGTTGCAGAAAGAAAAAATAGACATCTTCTCGAAACAGCAAGAGCCTTAATGTTTCAAATACATGTTCGAAAATATTTTTGGGCCGATGCTGTTTCAACGGCTTGCTTCCTGATTAATCGCATGCCTTCATCAGTTCTTAAGGGTGAGATACCTTATCGTACTCTATGTCCTATGCAACCTTTATTTCCTATTAAACCTAAAATATTTGGTTGCACTTGTTTTGTTCGTGATGTTCGCCTTCAGCTCACCAAATTGGACCCCAAGTCATTGAAATGCATTTTCCTTGGTTATTCTCGTGTTCAAAAAGGGTATCGATGTTATTGCCCTGATCTCAATAGATATTTTGTCTCTCCCGACGTTACGTTTTTATAAGATACTCCTTTTTCATTATCTTTTAGTACCAGTCAGGGGGAGCATTCACAAGAAGATGATAACTTTCCTGTCTATTTCATTGTCTCTATTTCTACTGAAGAGCTTCCTAGCAATACATCTCCCTCCGTGCCTGATCCTTCTCTTCCCACCATTACTCAAGTTTATCCTCGTCGGCAACCTCCTACGGACTCATGCCCTATACTAACAGCTTCTTTGTCCGTGGATTCAGGAACAAGCGATGACCTTCCTATTGCTCTTAGAAAAGGTAAGCATAAATGTACTTATCATGTTTCTTCTTTTGTTTCATATAACCATTTGTCTTCACCTACTTGTTCATTTCTTGCATCCCTTGATTCTGTATCTGTTCCTAAAACTGTTCATGAAGCTTTGTTTCATCCTGGTTGGCAGACTACTATGTTAGAGGAAATGATTTCCTTAGATGACTACGGTACTAGGGATTTAGTGTCTCTTCCTGCAGGAAAGAAACCTATCAGTTGTAAATGGGTGTTTGTTGTTGCTGTTAAAGTTCATCCTGATGGATCAATTGCCCGTTTGAAAGCTTGCCTTGTTGCTAAAGGATATGCGCAGACTTATGGAATTGATTATTCTGATACTTTTTCTCCGGTTGCTAAATTGGCTTCTGTCAGGTTATTCATTTCCTTGGCATCTATTCACCATTGGCCCTTACATCAGCTTGATATTAAAAATGCCTTCCTCCATGGCGATCTTCAAGAAGAAGTGTATATGGAGCAACCACCAGGTTTTGTTTCTCAGGGGGAGAATGGAAAGGTATGTCGTCTTCGTAAATCCTTATATGGGTTGAAACAAAGCCCACGAGCATGGTTTGGAAAATTCAGTCAGGTGGTTGAGGACTTTGGAATGAAGAAGAGTAAGTTGGACAATTATGTCTTCTATAAACAAACTGAGTCTGGTGTTATCTTACTGGTTGTATATGTTGATGATATTGTGATTACTGGTAATGATTCATCAAGCATCCTATCACTCAAAACTTTTTTTCATAGTCAATTCCATATTAAGGATTTGGAAGTGCTGAAATACTTCTTAGGAATTGACCTGTTAACTGAAACAGGAAAGTTAGCTGCTAAGCCACGTAGTACTCCAATGATACCTAATTTACAACTTACAAAAAAAAGGGAGTTGTTGAAAGATCCTAAGAAGTATAGGAGATTAGTAGGGAAGCTGAATTACCTTACCGTTACGAGGCCAGACATAGTTTATCCAATCAGTATTATGAGTCAGTTTATGAGTTCTCCTACGACTGACCATTGGGCCGCATTGGAACATATTCTATGTTATTTGAAAGGTGCTCCTGGACGTGGTTTGTTATATAAAGAACATAGTCATCTTAATATTGAATGTTTTTCAGATGCTGATTGGACAGGTTCTAAGGAAGATAGAAGATCAACATCAGGATATTATGTATTTGTCGGAGGTAATTTAGTTTCTTGGAAAAGTAAGAAACAAAACGTGGTGTCGCGTTCGAGTGCTGAATCAGAATATAGAGCTATGGCACATTCGGTCTATGAATTAGTATGGATATATCAGCTTCTGACTGAATTGGGATTTGGCATCACCACTCTAATGAAACTTTGGTGTGATAATCAAGCAGCTCTCCATATTGCACCTAATTCAGTATTTCATGAACGAACCAAACAGATTGAAGTTGATTGTCATTATGTACGTGAGAAAATACAGCAAGGATTGGTAGATACATGATATGTGAAGACTGGAGAGCAGTTAGGAGATATCTTTACTAAAGCATTGAATGAAGTACGAATAGATTGTCTGTCTAACAAACTGGACATGATTAACATATATGCACCAACTTGAGGGGGAGTGTTGGAGTATATATTTTATATTCTTATATTAATATGTATTAATTTGTCATTTACCTTCTCCTTATAGGATTAGGTCAACTTTGTATATTTGTCTATATATATAGACTTTAATAATTAGAATAGACTACATTGGATTCTCTCCAACCTTAGTCTCCACAGTAATCTTGGATAAGGTTTTATACACATAATTCTTGACATATCTCACAATCAATGCCAATGAGAAAAGATCGTTACTCTTACTCCAAGGGAATTATTCTCTCCATGATAAGAGTCCCGAGTCTTCCACAAATCCCCATCATCATCTTTTCCTTTGGCTCATTTCAAAGTGATACATCAAAAAGTAGACTCACATTTTATTTCAAGGTCATTGCAGCCTAAGGGACGAAAAAATAAGGACATAAAAAGGAAACAAGAAAATAAAAGGCTATAATAGGTTTCTGGAAGATAGGAAGGCCGAACTGCAAAGGAAAAATCATGGCTAAATGCATTCTTGGTTGGAGGAACTCAACATCGAAGCCGGAAGCTAATAACACGACTAACTGAATAGCAGAAAAACTTGGATGAACAGACTAACTGAATAGCAGAAAAACTTGGATGAACAAGCTGATTCGAAGAAGCTCACAAGCATAGTCTAGTCAACTAATTACCTGCAAGGTGTAAGTCTTGGACGGAGAAATTATTCTGAAGCAAAGTCGTAGATCCGAATCCTCTGCATCCATCTTTATCGTAGATGTGTGCAGATTAACATTACAACAACGCAAAATTTCTTCATTGAGTGATGATGTCCTATTGTGCCTTGCACGGAATCTACCAAACATACTGTTGTTGTGTTCATCTGGACGATTGAAACTATGAGATTGAGGGCCCTGAAGGAGACATTAAACACGTTAGATTTACCAAAATCCAGATATTACAGCTGAAGGATTTATTTACTTTTTATAATTATTAATTATTTATATTTCTACCATTATAATCTTGTCTGGAATACTACAGATATAACTCATGCACAAGGGAATGCTTACGTTTCCACCTATGAAGAAAATAAAATGACAAAATAAAAAGGTGAATTGAATACAAAGAATCCTTAAGATATTATCTTATATAATCCACACATTACCCTTTCAAGCAAAAAGAATAGGATATAACAACTTCAAACCAACACTCAAAAATACAAGAACGCGGCGACCTAACTTGGACTTTTCACTCAATAAAAAATTTCTTTCTCATTTACTTTCTTTTTAATTTTTAATTTTAAAATTTTAATTTTTTGAGGGAACTTTCTTTTTTATTGATGTCTTTTATGATTATTTTTTCTTTTTCTTGATAATTTTATTAAGTTCGATTTTTCTTTTTTCTATCAGACAGACGGCCTCTTTATGCAATACAATCATTTGAGTATAATATGACCGCCTTACACAAACATTGGTCAGAGAGAAACCCAAAAAATAGAAGCGAAAGGAGAAAATGTGATGTACACAAACACAATGGTTTCTTGAAGAGATGGAAAGATATCTTTTATTAAGAGATCAGCCTCTATTTATAGAGTTTGGCTAACAACTCACAAAACAGTAAAAGTCAGTTACTGTGTAGTAACTAACAACTAACTAAAGAACAAAGCTTGAAAGCTATATCTTAAAGGAAAACCTTAAAATAACAACTAAAACACTACATCAATTTTCCTCAACCCCAACAAAAAACTCGTCCTCGAGTTAAGATGTGATGACGAAAGAATCTGGCAGATGGTATGTGTATAAATCAGCCACATTGAAAACAGGGCTGATATTATAGGTCGCTGGGAGCTGGATTTTGTATGCATTAGGGCCGAACCGCTCAAGGACTTGAAAAGGACCGAGCTTTTTTTTCTTCAATTTAGTATAAGTTGTAGAAAATCAAGCTGAAATTTAGGAGAAATTACTTTAAATTTATTCCCTTGTATACTATCTGATTTAGGCTTTCCTTGTAGATCTAGATTGATACCTAATTTCTAGTTTTTGATTGAAGGTAAACTTGTATATATTTTTGAGAAATAAGAAGAAAAACTTTCTCATATATCTTCATGGTATCAGAGCGTGAGAAATAAAGTTTTTTTTTTTTCAAAACCCTAGCCGTCAGGAAATAAACCCTAGTTTTACCAACCCTAGCCGTCAGGAAATATTCACGGCAGAAACCCAAGCTGTCATCAGATCCACCTCCGGCGAACTCTTCACGGCAGCTCCGTCGCCGTCGATCCTCTCCATCGCGACGTCCTTCACGGCCTCTCCATCGCCGGTGGCCTTCATCGCGAACAGAACATCCCGGCAGCCTCATCCCGCACAGATCCAGCACATCCCGACCTCCGCAATCCGGCGAACATCCCGGCAACCGCACAGATCCAGCCGGTCTTCATCGTGAGCAAGTCTCCATCTGCCGGCCTCCGCGATCCGTCCCCGCACAATCGGCTTTCGCGATTTTTTCTTCGCCGACATCACTATCTTCAAATCTGCTCAGATCTGTTACTAACGTCGCTGCTCGTGCCGCCGCTCATACTGCCACTGCTGCCATCGCCGCCATTCTCACAGAAGCAGAAATACTCGATCTTTGTTCACTTCAGATCTGTTTTTTTGTTTTCTTTTGTCCTCTTTTTTTTTCCCCAGATCACCTTTGTTCGTAGATCGATTCGCTATGGCAGATTCGGAATCAGAATCTCAGAATAATATCCCAATTTTTCGCGAAAGCAGCAACACTCAGATAACATGCCATGAACTCACCGGCCACAATTATCTTCAGTGGTCTCAATCAGTGAAGATGTTCATGTATGGTCGTGGATTGGAGGACCATATCA